CCACAAGTGGGAAGCCATCCTCATGGAAAAGCAAAAATGCTGTCGACGACATGTGAGGACACTCAAGGTTAATGAAGGTACTCTGAAAAATGAGAGTTAAATCAAAGAATCACCCTGGGTAGAGAGAGGACATAAACAGGGTGGTCTGCCTAGCACCCAGAAAGGGCAGTGTCATTGAGCAAGCAGGAGCCCTGCTCAGCCTAGGGAGACACTGGAGGATGGGAGAGGTGCTGTGGCAACAGCATGGTGATCAGGAGATGTGCCAGGTCAGGACACACCCCTGCCCCAGGCTCTCAGTCCCATGTCTAGGCTCACAGGACAATGCCTCATAACTGATTTGGCCTCCCCAAAATCTTTATTTTATGCTTCAAAAGATACTTTACTCCTTTAATTTTAGATTTATTCAGATATAATTGACATACAACATGTAAGTTTAAGGTGTACAATGTGTTGATTTCTAAAAATCTTGATAATGACAGATGGCCTGCCTAGGGGACAAAATTAGTCTTCATAAAGCTAATGTCCTATCTTTCACAGTAAATTAAGAAATTGGACATTTGACTTCTACACTAATTTGTCACAAGTTTGGTTTCTAGGACTCTGTTTTTGGTGCATGGACAATTTGAACTCACAGCTGGGTCACACCCAGGGGTGAGCCCTCTTAGAGGTCTAGCAGTCCCTGTGAATTTAACCTTGACATCAGAGAGCTTTCCCACCATGATCACAGTTCCTGAAAGATGCATGAACCAGTTAAGGAAGTGGATCATTGGAAGCAAGGTTCCAGAGAGTGGAAAGGCTGCCAAACCTCATCTACCTTTGGTCTGGCCCCAAGCCCTTTCCTTCTCTCTCCCCAACCTGCCTCAGGTAGTCCATTTGCCTCCTTGATTCCTCTTCATCTCCACACCAAGGCCCTGTTCAGGGTGCCATCTTCTACCAGCTGGATGGCTGTAAAAGCTGCCTCCTGACTGGCCCCCACTGTGAACACCCCATTCTGTACCCACACATCAATCGCAGCACCTGCTTGCCTGGTACATTCAGGAACCACCTCCTCCTTATCCCCCTGACTGCAGTAAGACATTCACACTGCTTACAAGGCTCCAAATTTGGGAATGAGCCCTGCAGGAGCTTGGTTAGCTCCATGGGCTGGTATGAGAAGTAAACCAGTTCCTGTACAGCAAGTAGTTAGCAAATGATAAAAGATTGTGATAAGAATAGCCTGGATGACCAGGCCCTTGTTCATGTCTCTGGCAGCTTTGTCAGCACCACTTGCCATGGGTGGCCACGTGCCATAGGTTCAGTCATACCTGACTTTCTTGTCACCAAACTTCTGCTTGGATTCCCCTTCCTCCCACTGTGCCTAATGAATTCCAGCACACAGGCTTCAGGTCTCACATTAGGTATCTCTTTTTCTGGGGTGGTTTCCTGAACACCACCTCCCTCACCCAAGAACCGGAATGGTGTTCCTCTATTCCCTTTCTTGCACAGAGCACCAGGAGTGCCTATCTAGTCATTAGGACCGACTCTGTAATGGCCAATCTTCCTAACTGCCAACCCCACCAAGTCTTAGAATCAGGATGTGTCTACACTCGATGCGGAAGCCCCACAGCACCTGGTATGATGAACAAGCAGTGAATGCAGGGAGGTAAGTGCAGGTGGCCCAGTTAAGTCTCCTCCACTGCAGCCAGGATTCTGAGTTTCAGGCTAGAAAGGATATGTGTGCAGAAATGTCACAGAAAGAAATAGTCTAAGAAAACTTCCCCAGGCCATGACCACATCATTGGAGAAGCCAAGGCCCCAGGGCAACAGGACTTCACTGTTCCACCTCAGCGAAGTGGAACACGCCTCCACCAAGTGTGAGCCAAAAACCTGGTCTAGTCATGGACAGAAGGGGCCTCTCTGCCTCTAACATCTAAGCACAGTCAATACTATATTAACAGAGACATCTTGGGCCTCTCAGTTTGGGACATGGGAGTACTCAGAGGTACCTGTTATACCTAGGCTGGCCTGCTGAGTCAGAATAAACATCTCAATGCCCAAAACTGATCAGTGACATATTGTCTCACACCCACCAGGGGCTGCTACCAGAGTATACCAACACAGCTCCCAGCTCTCTCCCAGCCCCTTGCCAGGATCTTCCAGGCACTAGAAACAGACACTTAGAACATATGGCAAGCCTGACACCTACAGTCAAAGGACCCATGTATACCTGTCTTCAGTTCAAGAGAAACCTATCCTTGAAGTAATAAGTTAAATTCCTCCCCCTTAACCTCCCCCACCCCCTAGATTTAGACAAGGAAAATTTAGAAAGTCCACTTGAATTACTCTTTGACCTAGTCTGTGTTTTTTCTAATAAAAGGCTGAGTATAGAATCAGAATACCTGCATTCAACAACACACAGTAAATGCTCACAGAGTGCCCGGGCTGCTTCCCCGTGGAAAACTCAGTCGTTCTAGGGGTGCAGACATTTAGTTCCCATGCTATACACAAACATGCAACTCCAAGATCTGTATTTCTCTCTGCTCAAAGTGAGTATCAATTCTTTTCTCACAGAGACATTAATTCAGTTTCCTAGTGTCTGCTGCAATAGCTCCTGGGGGAAAACAGCATTACTGCTAAGCAGCAGGCTCCACCCAAACCTGCTTCGTGACCCTCACAGACAGAAATGCAGGTGATGTTCAAGCCTCAGCTAAGCAAGAATGCACTGCACAGGGATAAATGTGGCTAAGTTTCCTTTTATTAACAAAAATGTATAGTTGTTGGTAAATGTCACCACAGAAAACACAAACCATGGACAAAACACACTGAGAGATAACCTCAGCCGGGAAATCAAAGAACACGAACAGGTTTACAAAGCACGACCACTGTCATGAGAAGAAGTCAGGATTACTAATGGTAACAGAAACATGGCAGCAGGTGCTGAGACTGCTCTTTACAGGCATCAAAGTCAAGGTTAAAGAACTAGCCGCAGCAGTGAAATTAAGGTAAAATACATTCTCTTGCTAAGGAGTATCCTTAGTTTTCAACATACAATATGATCATACATGAATTCAGTTAAAATAAAAAAAAACAAGTTTACAAATCACTTCTGGATACTTAAAAATAAACTCTAGGTTGCTTTTCTTTTTGGCAGTACCAGACTAAACTGTGGCAATATTTCAGAAACTTCAGGTGCATTACAATCTTCTGAGAAAGGCCCAATACTTCAGAATTCCAGGTGTGGCTGTGGAGAAAGAACATTACTGGCAACAAATATTAAAACATTTTAAGATCTGCAGGAATATAATCAGATGTTCTTAAGTGTGCAGGCACTTAAGCATTCAAGCTGATATCCTAAATACTTTTCCAATTGACATATTTACATTTCTTTTTGGTTTAATGCAGAAAAAAACTACAGGCAAGTTGTTCCATTGGCATATGAATAATTTGGTGGCTATGTTTCCCTTTCCACAGGAGTGTGTGGAGTCAGGTAACTTCATTCTCCTGGTCCCCAACAGCTCATCTGTGACACACACTCTAAAATGCATGGGACAACTGCTCTTATTCAGGGGCTCTTTCTGGAGTGTGATCAGAGTAATAGACTGCAACATCTTTTTAGAGAGAGGCGAGGATATTTTTTCATTCTGTGGCTCTGCCTGCTTAAAGCATCTGTGTGGGTATAAAGGCCTGCAGCTCACAGAATGGCTCATGGAGCACCAGGATGCCTGCTGACCCAAACTGCAAACTGCGGCTGCTCTTCGGCCTGCTGGCCTCAGCCTGAATGTGGAATTTTACCCACTAGAAAGCATTACTGGAGGCCAAATAAGAAACTTTAAATAGCTCAACAACACTGATTCTTTCTCCTTTGGCTTCAAAAGTAATCATAACTAAACATTTTCAACTATGAGGCCAAGTTGATTGGAATAATGAAAAACATCTTTTCAAAAACCATTTAATGAGGTAGCTAAGATCAAATATCACATCCATAGCATACACGAAATTGCCTAATAAGTGCTCAGGCATTTTATAATGTATTTTTCAATGCAAACTGCCATGATGCCTAATAAATGCTCTTTCCTTCCAATACCTAACAGTGCATGCAAACCTTCTGAAGAGGCCCCTTGCAGAGTGAAAACAGCAAGAGGCTGGGAGCGAAGTTGTACAGGAGGGGAGAGGAAGGGCACTCTGGGCATACAGCTTTGGTTGAATTGGTACTGCTCCCTGTGGAACCAAAATGCAGTTGGTGCCAACAAAGAACAAACACCAAGTAGACCTTGGGGACCTAATGGGGTACAAAGGGGGCCTCGACTCCAGGCAGCAAGAAGCCAAGACCTGGGGCACTTTCATTAAGGTCTAGGCAATGCTCAGAGCACGAGCCACCCTCACCTTGAGGCCCCTGGAGCCCTCCATGGGAGGGAGTCTGGCCACCTGCTACCCTGCTGGGACTGCTCCTGGTTCTGGGGAGGCTTCTGCTCTCAGCAGCTTGGCCTGCAGTTCTCACTGTGTGTTCACAGGTTTGGGCTGCTTCTGGCTGAGCAGCATTTCAGATGTCAAGTTTAAAGCCTTCCGTTTGGAGTTTTGGATCAAGAGAAAGGTGGCAATACCAATCCTGGCAGGGTGGATTTTGTGACTATTCCAGCATTGTTCACACTTATACACTGACACATTCACACATATGTGCACATGCACATAGATGTATGAAAGTGTGGGAAGCAGGACAGCCTCCAGACAGTGCATCAAGTTTTGGGAAGACAGCAGTGGGCAGAGTGGAGGTGCCTGAGGCAAGGCTGGGGGAGGTCCTGGGACAGAGTCTGGATCCACCATCTTCGCCACCCTCCCTTCCTGTCCTCCAAGGCAAGGTGGCCATCAGCACACCAGGGCACCTGGCGGCAAGGCAGGCACTGGGTCGAAGTGTTAGGTTTCCGTAGTATAGTTGCTGTAGGCCAGAGGAGGCAGGGCCTGCAAGCTTGTCCCCCTCCACATTCCAGGTTGGGCCTCCGTGCACCCTTGCTCTTTATATTTACCCAGAATATTTCTGGCTTCTTCTGTATCCCTCAAGGGGTTCTCTCCATATTCTTCCTTTAACCACTGCCGGTACTGGAGAAGTTGAAAAGGAAACCAAAATGTCACACACTCACCTGCATCTATGTAGACTTTTACGTATTATTTAATGGTACAGGTTTTGCCACATATAAGCTGGGAAATAAATGGGCATTGGGCAACCAAAGCTCTGTGGTTGGCTAGACAGTAGCAAGAGGGAGAACTCACTGCTTCTTCAAGGTTTTGGCCTGAGATGAAAGCAAGCCAAACCAAGAAAACAGCACTTGCCTCAAAGGAAAAGAAATGCAGCTAACATGGAGCCTAGGAAGATGGTAAAGGGTAATGTCCTATGGCTGCAGCTGGTGCACAGGGACTAGTGAGGGCTTCAATGTGTGATGCAGCTGAGGTGTCCTTGGACCAGATGTCCTCTGGGGGCCTCTCCAACTTCAACCTCCATGCTTCTGGGAGTGTACAGAAAGACTGAGGCATCTTCCCAGGGTCTGCTGCCTACATCACCAAAGTCCCCTAAGAGTGGTTACCTGATGTACTTCATGCTTCTCAAACTCTTGCAGCTGCCTCTGGAAGCCCAGGTTGGGGTTAGCACAGGACCTCCCGGCGCGCACAGTGTGCAGGGCATCTTCCCAGCCAAAGTCAGTGACAGTCATGATGTACGCGGTCACCAGAGTCACACTCCTGGAGACACCAGCCAGGCTGTAGGTCCAAGAGAATGCCACATGGGCAAGGAAGATTTAAGATCCACAAGTCTAGCTTCTGATCCACTTGGAGCAAGGTATTCTGTGGACCTCATTTTAGAAAGTCTTTCTGCTTTGGATTATGAGTGGACAGCAAGTCAGTATGTTACTTGGAAATTACTCAGAAACATAAAAATGTCTCTTTATTACACTAGAATCTCAAGCATTCTAGAGCCATGGATGGCTCTAGTGCATTAGCTTCATTTTTTATAGATTTTCTGCTGGCTATAGCTCCGGACACTTCACTGTTATGATTATCGCTCCTCTTCAGATAGTTCCCATTTTCCCAGACAGATAAAATAACTAAAGCACATCAAAGGAACTTGAGGGGTCTGACATCCACGCAAGAAATCCATTTATAACCTTCAGCAGTTTAGAAGGCTTTACATGTTTTAAAAAAAATCTGGCTTTCTTAGATTTGTGAGGGCTAAATCTATAACTTAAAAATCTCATTAAATACAGAAGCTCTAGTAAATAGTTTGTGGTCTTCTTGACACAATTATGCAGAGCACCCTAGAGGACACAATGCACATGTGCTCTGAAACTCAGAGTCAGTGTGCACACTCTGTAGGCAACATGGTCAAGTATCTCTAGCCGACTGAGTAAGGGGACCAATTTAAAATCATATGCAAAATAAGGTAGTCACAGAAAAGTTGAGCTGCATCAGACTTAAGAGTGTTCTAGCAACAGTTTAAGATGGGGAAGTTTAGCAAATTTCTCATTTTGAGAGAAGCCTATCTTTAGATTTTCACAACTGTATGAAATACAATTTCCTAGAATATCATACTTATACATAATTAAAGAATAAATAATGATAATATACTAATATTATACTAATAATACTAATAACCACTTTCAAGTAGTAGCTCTTTCCCAAGGCTTATGTCAGCAAAAATGACAGCTTTTAACAAACACCCTCCTCTTCAGTCCAGGAGGCTCTCATCTCCCAGGATCCCCAGAAAACCTGGTACAGGAGTTCAAAACTCCCTTGAGGGGCTCCAACTATAATCCCCCCAAATGCTTTAAAGCAAATATAAATAATGTTACAAAATCCACCAATTTTATTTATAACATGGTCTACTCTTTTTAAAAGTAAAATAAATAACCACACTATTTCAAGCACTTTATAAAACTGCAAAACACCCATCTGAGAGCAATCAAACCACCTTGTGTCCCCATTGCCCCAACTCTCCAGAGTGACTCCTCTGGACATCACGTGATGGATCTCTACCCCCTCACCCACCCCCGTCCTGGGGCAGATGGATCTCTACCCCCTCACCCGCCCCCGTCCTGGGGCAGATGGATCTCTACCCCCTCACCCGCCCCCGTCCTGGGGCAGATGGACCTCTCCCCCCTCACCCGCCCCCGTCCTGGGGCAGATGGATCTCTACTCCCTCACCCGCCCCCGTCCTGGGGCAGATGGACCTCGACCCCCTCACCCACCCCCGTCCTGGGGCAGATGGATCTCTACCCCTCACCCACCCCCCGTCCTGGGGCAGATGGATCTCTACCCCCTCACCCGCCCCCGTCCTGGGGCAGATGGATCTCTACTCCCTCACCCGCCCCCGTCCTGGGGCAGATGGACCTCGACCCCCTCACCCGCCCCCGTCCTGGGGCAGATGGACCTCTACCCCCTCACCCGCCCCCGTCCTGGGGCAGATGGATCTCTACCCCCTCACCCGCCCCCGTCCTGGGGCAGATGGATCTCTACCCCCTCACCCACCCCCGTCCTGGGGCAGATGGATCTCTACCCCCCTCACCCGCCCCCGTCCTGGGGCAGATGGACCTCGACCCCCTCACCCACCCCCGTCCTGGGGCAGATGGATCTCTACTCCCTCACCCACCCCCGTCCTGGGGCAGATGGATCTCTACCCCCTCACCCACCCCCGTCCTGGGGCAGATGGATCTCTACTCCCTCACCCACCCCCGTCCTGGGGCAGATGGATCTCTACTCCCTCACCCACCCCCGTCCTGGGGCAGATGGATCTCTACCCCCTCACCCGCCCCCGTCCTGGGGCAGATGGACCTCTACCCCCTCACCCGCCCCCGTCCTGGGGCAGATGGACCTCGACCCCCTCACCCACCCCCGTCCTGGGGCAGATGGATCTCTACCCCCTCACCCACCCCCGTCCTGGGGCAGATGGATCTCTACCCCCTCACCCACCCCCGTCCTGGGGCAGATGGATCTCTACCCCCTCACCCACCCCCGTCCTGGGGCAGATGGACCTCTACCCCCTCACCCACCCCCGTCCTGGGGCAGATGGATCTCTACCCCCTCACCCACCCCCGTCCTGGGGCAGATGGATCTCTACCCCCCTCACCCACCCCCGTCCTGGGGCAGATGGATCTCTACCCCCTCACCCACCCCCGTCCTGGGGCAGATGGACCTCGACCCCCTCACCCGCCCCCGTCCTGGGGCAGATGGATCTCTACCCCCTCACCCGCCCCCGTCCTGGGGCAGATGGACCTCTACCCCCTCACCCACCCCCGTCCTGGGGCAGATGGATCTCTACCCCCTCACCCGCCCCCGTCCTGGGGCAGATGGATCTCTACCCCCTCACCCACCCCCGTCCTGGGGCAGATGGATCTCTACCCCCTCACCCACCCCCGTCCTGGGGCAGATGGATCTCTACTCCCTCACCCACCCCCCGTCCTGGGGCAGATGGATCTCTACCCCCTCACCCACCCCCGTCCTGGGGCAGATGGATCTCTACTCCCTCACCCACCCCCGTCCTGGGGCAGATGGACCTCGACCCCCTCACCCGCCCCCGTCCTGCCACCAACCTGAGCAGCAACACTGTCAGGAGTCACCACTTTGTATTTCCAACAGCAACTTCTTTGGGAGAAACTCAAGAGACTGCTAATTAACACCAAGCCTCATTCAAGATAAAGAGGGGACATGTTCAGCCTGCCCTTTGACAGGAGAGTTCTGGTTCTAGAAAGCTAGCAGCTGGTTCCCTACACAAACCAGTTATGTTATTAGAGTGAATATGAGGTGATATAAACGAGGCCTGGCACTCACTGAGAACTCACTATATGACAGGTTCAGTGCTAAGGGCTTTGTGTGTGCTGTCTTTGTATTATGTGTGTTATGACCGTTCTTTGCACGGTGTGTATATGTACCTACGTATATGGATACATCCGCAGGTGGACAGCTGTATATAAACCATTTAATTCTAGGAGTCTTTTCAGATCCTTTCAAAGCAAAGGAGTAAGCCAAACACACAATAAAAACCCCAATCTATAAATGGAGATAAATAGTCCTTTTGGTGTTACAGTAACACAATGCTAAAGATCCACATGTGCAATCAGAATTCTTCAGAAAAAACTGCCTTGAAAGACCACTGAAGTTTCAGGAATGAGCTTACAAATATGCATCCTTTGTAGGAGGCTATTCCGATGAAATATTAGAGGTGGGCTAAAAAGGGAGCTTCTGTTGTCCAGTAACCTTGAGAGTCCCTACAGAAATCCTAACTGCAAAAATAAAAATCCTAAGTTAGAATGAAATTTGGGGTTCTCTTTCAACAAAAGCAAACAGCATCCATCAGCAGGTAGGGTCAAGATGGGATTTATGTTTGAGACTTACAGGGCAGAGAAAACTATTAGGAGATGAAATAATTAATCACAAGGAAAAACACTTGATGAGAATCCAAGCTGAGTAGAGCATGCTAAGCTGTGACTAGGCAGAAGGCATACATACCAGTGCACCAGACAGCCCTCTCCCCTAAGCCGGCACTCATGAATGAATTTAATACTTTCTTTGAAATGTCTTGTCCTGAGGGGAGAAAAAAAGAGAGAAGTGACATCTGTTTACTCAATACATGATGAAAAGAAAAATCCACCTGAGGTTTGTTAGAAAGGTCTCAGTGCCCCACAGCTTCCCACAGGTAACACACTATTTGGGTTCAGAGCTGCCCCAGTGTTAGAATTCATCACACACAACACTCAGGCCTGGGGAGGGCTGCTGGCTTCTGGGCTTGTCAGAATTCCTCTGCAAGGAATTCCTAAAACACACAGCTGCCGCTGACTGGTGGTTGTGGTTGGGTGATTTCTGCCTAGTTGTACCCTGCCACCCCACAGCCATCCTCGTGAGGGAGGTGCCCACTTCATGGAGGCCCCCCAGGTCCTAAAAGCTAGTTTACTTCTGACAATCTGAAAAACCTAATAATACTCTTCCACACTGGCCTCCCTTGAGTTTGGTAGGTCCTATCTGCGTTCAATAGAAGAGCTGTGTGGAAATGCCAGTTTCATCTCTAATATCTGCATAGCAGCTTAGTGGCTGTGTGGGCTTGGCAAAAGTCACGTGGCTTCCTTTAACCTCATCTGTAAAGTGGGAACAATGTTTTATGTGCCAATGTGCTTTTATAAACTCTCAACACCTCCACAATGATAAAACAAGGATCCTCACTTCTTTTTCACCTTAGCTTTGCTACTACCATTCCTCTTGCTACTCATTCATTCACTTGCGTGCACCAGCTCTATTCTGGGTTTGGACTGTTGGAGGGTTAAGCACATTTACTCTGAGGGGACCTACAGAGTTAAATGCTTCTCAATGTCCTCTCCCTTGAGTGGCTTATTAAGCAAACAAAACATCTGAAGTTGCCCATGAACTAAATTTACGCCCCCATAAGCTCTGGCTGTGTACTGACTAATTACCAGGGATGAAGATGATACAGTTTCCAACCACATAAACTAGGTCTACTGGCTAATGAAGGAAAACAGGACAAATGAACTTAATAAGAATGGGAAATTAAGGTGTGGATTAATAAACTCAGCCAGGTACTGATTGCAGAGGGAAGTTACTAAACTAAATGTAGATGCCCAGATGAAAAAGGACAGAAGACAACAGGATAACTATAAAAGTATTTGTAGGCACACACATTCTATAACCAAACACAAGGCACAATGTTGCCATGCGTGGAAAGTCCTCAGGTCTATCCAAGGACTCGAGTAGCTCCTCTACGATTTCTAACTACCAGAGCATTGCAGGATATACTTTTGTTAAACTTTCCAGGGACAAATGCTCCCAGATATAAATTTATAAAGTGACTCAGGGCTCTGCAACTTTACTCCCAAAGACTGGCTTGCTATAGAGCAGGCAAGAAAAGGTTCCTATTGTAATCCTGACATCTGAGGTGTTAGTACCTAAAAAGTCCTCAGAGCCAGGGTGTGGAGCAGTGAAGCTGCATGGAAGGGGTGGGTGCTGGGGGTAATGAGACCAGCAGGAGCCCAGCCCAAAGGCAAGGTGCAGCAGCAGGAGTGAGGGTGCAGGGTTCAGTTTCCCATCTCTCAAACAAAACCAGCAGTTGGGATTTTGCAGTGAACTCTTCTGACTTTGAAGTATTAGAACTATGGCAGAGCATCTTCAGTTGCACTGATTTTATCTGGGGCAGCAAAGTGCCCCAGAATATCTCATCTTCCTTCTAGTTCTGTCCACAGAAAAGTAAAGGAAAGCTTGTGGTGGGGAATTCTGGGAATGTTTTCCCTTCTGTATAAAAGGAAAATTATCTGTCTCTGCCCCAGTCTTCCTGAGAGGGCACTGGAAGTGAGCACCATACTTAGAGCTCCATAAGACACCTGTAACCACAGGTGACAGGCCCTAGAGGTGGAAGGGTAGCAGGATGGAAAGGGGGACATCAGGAAGTGGCTGCCCAGGCCTGGGGGCCCCACCTTCAAGCTTCTTGGTCAAGAGAGTTAAGTAAATAAATGTCTTTATAACTTAAAACACTGTCAATCAATTATTTTGTTACTTATAGCCAAATACAACCTTCCCAAATATCAGCAACTACTCCAACAATTTTAAAAACACTGAGATAAGTCTTCTGGCTTAGGAGTGCCCTCAGAGCACTGCAAAGGCCACCAGTGACATAAGTGTTGTTGTCGTAGTCACCAAGATCTTGCAAAGATGACAGATGAACCCTTTTATTGAAACTTCGTAATAAAAACCTTTTCTTAAATCCTGTTTTTACACCTGCACGTTCCAATCCACATGCGCAAAGGAACCCAGGTCTTCAACACTGTGGGGAGTACCTGGGTTCAAGAGTTAGCTTTGTCACATCTCAGAATAAGAGAGTGGGGAGGATGTAGGTATGGTCAGTAGGGTAACATCCTTGAATTACTCTTTGACCCAGTCTGTGTTTTTTCTAATGAAAATCTGAGTAGAGAAGCCTAGAGGCTAGAGGCTAGAGGCCAGAGCCTAGAGGAAGTCTGTGAAGGACCTGAGGAGCCAAGGACATGCCTCTCCTATGCCCCGACCAACCCTTTATTCTTTCAGCTCTGTCTGTATCAAGTATTAAATGTAGGGCAAACTCATGGATGGCTCCTGTGCATCAGTGCAGAGCCCTAGGCACCTGTGAAAGGGCCACTCACGGCCCTGGCCCAGGAGCACAGTGATGCCAATTAAGGGCCTGCTCACAGCCCTGCTATGAAACTTGCTCATGATCACATCAGGCACAAGGCCATGGCAGGCAGACATTCCTAGAAATGCCTTTTCCAAGAAGAGCCAGGAGGTAGGAGGAATGCTAATGCCTGCTTTGGTGTGCTATAGGGAGGGGGGGTTTATTTCCAGGGAAGCTAATGACATAAGCCTAAGCCCTGGTCATTAAACTCCCTCCTCCACAGTGGGAAATACCCACAACTCTGGTCCTGACATTGCTCAACCCTCCAGTGTGAAGCAGAAGCACAATGAAGTACCATCCCACCACAAGCTGTTTCAATAAACATAGGTTCCCTATTCCTGCTCTTCACTTTGTACCTTTACTTCCACACACAGACATGGGAGTTCTTCTGTCCTAAGAAAGCCAGCTGTGCTAACCCAGAAAAAAAGGACAGCCTACACATGTCACAAACTCACCCAATATGACTGCTGCTGCTAACAGCTCCGAGGGAACACCCTGAGTCAGGAAGATGGCCACTTTAGCTGAGAAATAGCCTCATGGGGTTCAGAAAACCATTGGCAGCTGCCACTGTCCTCGACCCTTCCCCTCTTCTTTTTCCTCAGTTTGTGCTGGGCCTCCCTGTTAACCAGCACATTCCCAGCTCCTCCTTCTCTTTGCCTACGGGCCAAGAACTAGAACCAGCCAAGTTTTGCTGACCCTCAGAGAGCTCACAGAAAGTACAGCAGATTGATCTAGCAAAGCCACACCATACAGTGTTCAGTTGTTGAGGCCGACCGATTTCTTCATACCCTAAGACTACGACGATTGGTTGCTATAATCCCCACTGTGGGAAATGAGGCAGCCCTGCCCTGTTGAGGACTTTGCTTGTGTGAACAAAAGCCCAAAGATCCCACCAAGCACCTTGAATGGTGGCTGGACTTACCCTCAGCCAGCTGAACTGAGGACAAAGTCACAGGATCCAGGGAACCTCTCCTTCCCCTCAACAGAGTATAAATGTGTGAATGCACATATGTGTACATGTGTATATAAAAGCAAAGAAGAAAAAATAGGAAAGGCAAGCACCCTTAGATTTTCTTTTTCTCAGAAAGGAACACTTAAAAATAAAACAAAAACACAGCAAATGGGTGAAGTGTTCGATCTGGCTCCAAGCCCTAGCAGGTGAGCTCAGATCAGGCAGTTGCTTCCATCTGGGGGCAAAATCAGCTCAGGATCCCCAGGACCTGCCTGGGCCCTCTCCAGCTGGAATACTGTCCAGGAAGCTCTCACCCTAACCAGAAGCAAGCAGGAACGAACATTATTGACCCACACAGACACTGGTAGGACTTTTCTATCAGTGTACTGCATTAAACACATAAAATGAACCCACACTTATATCAGTATTCCCCAACTTTTGTTATTTCCTGTACTGTCAACATTTTTTAAAAAATAAAAAATGTGTGTACCATATTTTTCTTTTAAAATTATTTTTATTATAAGTTTCGATTGTACATGACATCTGTATGAACTACAACATGATTACCCCTAAAAAGTCTAGTTACCATCTATGACAATATAATCGACCCCTCTTCCCTCCTCTCACCCATCTCTCACCCCATTTCCATTTGGTAAAAACCAATCTGCTCTCTGTACCTATGAGTTTGTTTGGGCTTTGTTTGTATGCTCATTTTGTTTGTTTTTTTAGATTCCACATGTAAGTGAAATCATATGGTATTTGTCTTCCTCCTTCTAACTTATATCACTTAGCATAATATACTCTAGGTCCATCCATGTTGTCCCAAGTGGCAAGGTGTCATTCTTTTTTATTGCTAATATCCCATTGGATAGAAATGCCACATCTTCTTTATCCACTCATCTATTGATGGACATTTGGGTTGTTTCCATATCTTGGCTACTGCAAACAATGTTGCAGTAAATATAAAGGTGCATATACCTTTTTGAATTAGTGTATCTATATTCCTTGGATGAATACCCAGAAGTGAAATTGCTGGGTCATAAGGTAGCTCTATTCTTAATCTTTTGAGGAACCTCTACACCGTTTTCCATAGTGGTTGTACCAATTTACAATCTTACCAATAGTATACAAGGATTCCCTTCCCTCCACATCCTCCCTAGCACTTGTTATTTATTGGCTTTTTGATAATAGCCATTCTAACAGGTGTAAGGTAATATCCCATTGTGGTTTTGATTTATATTTCCCAAACAATTAGTGATGTTGAACATTTTTTCATGTACCTGTTAGCTATTTGTATGTCTTCTTTGGAAAGATGTCTATTCAGACCCTCTGCCCATTTTCTAATTGGGTTGTTTGTACCTTACTTTTCATTCTGGCAGGTAAGGTTATTTTAAAAACAAACTAAAAATAAAAAGCCTTCTATAC